GACAGCAACTTGTCTGTTCCCCTTCCCCCAATTCCCCAGCACTGTTCCCATCCCCCCAATTCCCCAATAAAAATCTTTAAAAAAAAAGAGAAGAAAGGCAGGGAAAAACTAAGCATCTTTCTAGCTCAATGGAGAACACTGGAAAACTGAATTTCTGCAAGGAAGGAAAAAGAAAAAAATAAGGGCAAAATTATATTTTTAGAAACTACTCTATGAAAACAAAGGATAAGCACAGGGTCTAGAAAATTACTTCTCAGACATTATTACACGCGAAAAGATCAGTTAAAGAAAGAAAACTTCACAGCACAGTGGTGGTGTCTGCAGACAGCAGTTAATAAATGGTGAACCATTAGCTCATGTCTCAGTGGCATTTGCAAACACGCCAACTGACGGTCACAGCAAATCCCAGGGATGGTCCCAGAAGTGTCACAAGCAATGTCAAATGCCCTGTGGGCTACATTAGAAAATTTTTTCAAGAAGAAAGCAGGGTTTAAGAAGCACGCTTACTCTATCAATTCTTGGCACCCAAACTTCACTCTTAAGGCAGTGAGCACAAAAGGCTTTCTTTACTGGCAGCAAATGAGTTAGTTAGCCAACAGTGAACAGCTAAGAAAGCAGCCCTCAAATAGCATATTCACATTCAATTAATACATGTACAAAGTTCCTCTTGCTACCCCTCCCGCTGCTATCCCACTCTCAGAGGAAAATGGCATAAGCTCCCCCCAAGAAGATGGGCCCCGTTGTGGCTTCCTGAGGCAAAAACTCCACAGTCCCTGCCTTAGTGAATTCCCAAAATAATCCTCCTCCAGCCCTCCCAACTCAAGTTTTTAGTTCACAGAATGTTGACAGTAGTTTCATGTGGTTAAAATCTTTGCTAAATAAGCGTATGAGTATGAATCAGCAACAAAGAGGACTGTGGAATGCAAATGGCCGCCTCTGGCATAAGAAAAGCAGGGTTACCTTGCCCTACTTGACTATGTTAGACCAAGTGTAGAACAAAAACTGACCCAACATCTTAAAAAGGTCTAAGTCTCCATATCACTTCAACAATCCCAGGAGACAAAGATTGGGGCAGGGGCAGATGTCCCTTAAATAAAATACTAATTAGTCTTTCCAAAATGTGTATACAAGTCTAGTTTAAAATTTTTAAAAAAGAGAGAAAAAGAGTCATACTCACTCAATTCTTTGCCAACTGCTGCCACAACACAGTTCTTAGGTATTTCAATCAAAGCACTGATCCCTTCAAAAATATATACAACAAAGGTCAAATTACTTTCTTCATGGATTGCATCAAAAACAAAAACATTCTCAGCTTTATGTCAGTCATTTCCCATAAAGGGAACAGTAACAATAAAGCACACACAATTTGCTATATCACACTTCCTTGCTTGCTTACACATGGAAAATTATTTTGTGAAAAGTAGGTGAGACCTTTGGAAGGCATTATTGATTTATTAAGGGTAGGATATACTCTTTGAACATTTTTACTATTGTGGTGAACTTACTTACCAGGGATCCCTTAAGATAATCATCATCACCATTTACAAGATGGCTAGCTCAAGTGAGATGTAAAATTGGCATTTTCCTCAATGTAAATTTTAAGAATCCTGAGTGGGCTCCCTGGCAGTAAATGAGTTAGCCAATGGTCAACAGCTAAGAAAGTGGCCTTGAAATAGCATGTTTATAATCAATTAATACATTTACAAAATTCTTTGCTTTACTGGAATAACCAGATTCAACATGCCACCAGATTTCACCTATTTATTTAAATATAAAGTTCAGAGAATCTTTTTATAGCTGAATCATGAAATGATTTAAAGGCAACCATTACTTCTGTAACATATGTTACAGTTATTACTTTTGTCAGTGAGAATTAAAGAATTGATATATTAGATTCAGAACATGTATAGGCAAAAAACCCTGTTTATTAAAGTTAATTTTTCAATTATGAAATATGTTATATATATACATATATGTAATTTGTAACATATATGCAAATTTTGAAAATATTCTACTTGTTTGCTTTACCTTCCCACCCATCAAAGGATTAGCACTCTTGTAATTTGGGGAGTAATTCTCTCCAAAACCTTTTCTCCACATAGGGTTGTTTTAACATATGTTTTGTATTTTCCCAAGTTCAAGGAGGAGGAGGACATGGCAGAGGAGGAGAAAGGGGAGGGGTAGGCAGTTCAAGATAAAAAAGTGAAGGAGATAGGAGAGTCGTGGGGGGTGGGGACACGGAAGGGGTAGAAAGAAGAGAATTCTAGATGCAGAAAACAGCTTGTTAAAAAATGTTTATCAACTTGTGAAGTGAAAATAATGGAAACTCAATAATCCAGTAGCAGCAACTTAATATACAGAACCACAGAACATATTATTGGAAAGGTTAAGGCTCTTTCCATTGCATCACACTAAGATTATCTTTGTTTATTTCCAAATACAGAAGAACTGCCCCTAAAAGCCCTGGTAGGCCACAAATCAAGCAAGGCTTATGAAAGGAGTGTCATGAGGTAAGGGTCTAACAGCAGGCACTGCTAACTACCTGGCACCCTGTAATTTGGAAAACCCAAATCATGAAAAGCTCGCTGATGGTAACATATGTGGCCTTTTCAAAGCTTTGCAATGGAGTCTCACAAAGGATTCTATCTCTTGAGACACTGATAAACAGAGTAATACTGTGACTACTTAATGTATAGTGCTCAAAGATAACTTGCAAAAGAAAGAAAGATTGCAATAGGTGGTTATTTTCATTAACATACAAAAGTTTCTTTTTAGCCCTGATTTCAATATTTCTCAACCTACGTACAGGCATTCCTCCTTTTATTGTACTTCACTTTACTGCACTTCAGATATTGTTTTTAACAAACTGAAGGTCTGTGGCAACCCTGCACTGGACAAGTCCATCAGCACCATTTTTCCAGTAACATTTGTTCACTATGTGTCTGTGTGTCACATTTTGGTGATTCTCACAATATTTCAATCTTTTTCATTATTATACTTACGGTGATTTGTGACCAGTGATATTTGATGTACTACTGTAAGTTTTGGGGTGCCATGAACTGTGCCCATATAAGACGGCGAACTTAATCCATAAATGCTGCGTGTGTTCTGCCTGCACCACCGACCGGCTGTTCCCGGTCACTCTTCCTCGCCCCCCCCCCTCGGGCCTCCCTGTTCCCTAAGACACAATATTCAAATTAGGTCAATTAATTCCCTCTAATTGATGCTAAGTGTTCAAGTGAAAGGAAGAGCTGCACATCTCTCACTTTAAATCAAATATTAGAAATTAAGCTTCGTGAGGAAGGCTTGTCAAAAGATGGAGGTCAGCCAAAAGCTAGGCCTCTTGCGCCAAACATTAGCCAAACTGTGAATGCAAAAGAAAAGTTCTTGAAAAAAACTAGAAGTGCTATTCCAGTGAATACACGAATGACAAAAAAAAAAAAAAAAAGCAAAAGAGCCTTATTGCTGATATGGAGAAAGTTTCAGTGGTCTGGATAGAGGATCGAGCCAGCCACAACATTCCCTTAAGACAAAGCCTAATCCAGAGCAAGACCCTAATTCTCTTCACTTCTCTGAAGGCTGAGAGAGGTAAGGAAGCCGCAGAAGAAAGGTTTGAAGTTAGCAGAGATTGGTGTATGAGGTTTAAAAGAAGTTATCTCCATTACAAAAGTGCAAGGTTAACAGCAAGTGCTGATATAGAAGCTGCAGCAAGTTATCCAGAAAATCTAGCTAAGGTGGCTACACTAAACAACAGGTTAGCAATGTAGGTGAAACAGCCTTCTTTTGGAAGCAGATGCCATCCAGGACTTTTAGCTAGTGAGGAGAAGTCAATGCCTGGTTTCAAAGGTTCAAAGGACAGGCTGATTCTCTTGTTTGATGCTAATGAAGCTGGTGACTTCAAGTTGAAGCCAGTGTTCATTTACCATGAACAATTAAAAAATTCTAGGGCTCTTAAAAATTATACTAAATCTACTTTGCCTATGCTCTATAAATGGGACAACAAAGCCTGGATTACAGCAATTTCTGTCTACAGCATGGTTTTAAGCTCACTGTTGAGACCTACTGCTCAGAAAAAAAAAAAAGAAAAAAGATTCCTTTCAAAATATTACTGTTCATTGACAATACACCTAGTAACCAAGAGCTCTGATGGAAATGTATAAAGAGATTGTTGTTTTCGTGCCTGCTAACACATCCATTCTGCAGCCCATGGATCAAGGAATAATTTTGACTTTGACATCTTATTATTTAAGAAATACATTTCGTAAGGCTCGAGCTGCCATAGATAGTAATTCCTGTGATGGATCTGGGCAAAGTAAATTGAAAACCTCTGGAAAGGGTTCACCATTCTACTGAGTTGTCGGAAAAGTCATGAGGTATTTTGTCTATGTTTTTCAAAGGTCATTTATTTATATAAAGAACAAAGATCAATCAATGATATATTGCGTTTTGTTTGATAACCTTTTGCCATCTTTCAGTGAGCTTCATAATTCCTCGTTCATAGAAGGACCTGTCTTTATTTGTGAAAAACTGAACAAGGTACTAATTTACAGCCTCATCTGAATTGAACATTATACCACGCAAGGAGTTTTGAAGAGAGCAAAACAAGTGGAAGTCTGACGGCACAAGGTCAGGCGAGTATGGTGGGTGTGGCAACACATCCCATCCAAGCTCCAATAATTTTTGACAGGTGATCAAACTTGTGTGTGGTCTCGCGTTGTCGTGATGGAACACAACTCCTTTACAATTAACAAGCTCTGGATGTTTCTGGATGATGGATTTGTTCAAACTGTCCAATTGCCGACAGTACACATTCAAATTGATTGTTTGGTTCCTTGGTAGGAGCTCGAAAACCACACCTTTAAAATCTCACCGCACTGAGAGCATAACCTTCCTCTGATGAATGTCTGCTTTTGATGTCATTTGAGGAGAATCATCACGTCAGGACCAAGACCATCTGCACACCACATTGTTGTAAGCAATCCATTTCTCATCACCAGTTATCAGTCGCATCAAAAAAGGATTGTTTTCCTCACGTTTAACGAGCATATTGCAGATGTTTATACGCACCATCAAATGAACTTCTTTGAGTTCATGCAGAACCCAAATATCAAGCTTGCTTACATATTCCAGCTTCTTCAGGTGGTCGTGAGCACTTGAATGATAGATGTTCAATGTTTCTGCAATCTCTCGTGTCATGTAACGTGGGTTTGACTCAATCAATGCCTTTATTTTGTCGTCATCAACTTCGGTGGGCCTCCCTGACCAAGGAGCGTCATTGAGATCAAAATCACCAGCATGGAATTTTGTGAACCATCATTGGCGCTGACGTTCTTGTAGAGCATGATGTTCTTGTAAACTTGACGCAACTTTTCACAAGCTTGACGTGTGTTTCTCCCTTTATGAAAGTAAAATAGTAAAATATGGCAAAAATGCAGTTTGGTCTTCCATCTTCAACTTGTAAAATCTCCCAAACTCAACCAAATCACTCAATTTTTTTTAGAATGAAGCTGGAACTGTCAGCTGTCAAATGACATAGCAATAACATAGATGCAAATGACTTTAGTACTTCCAAAAATGAACTAGTGCCATCTGTTGCAAACATGAGTCATGACTTTTCCGACAACCCAAAAGATGCCATTAAGAACATTTATGATTCGTGGGAAGAATTAACAGGAGTTTGAAAGAAGTTGATTCCAAACCTCATAGATGACTGAGGGGTTCAAGACTTCAGAGAAGGAAGTAATTACAGATGTGGTAGAAATTGCAAACTAGAATTAGAAGTGGAGCCTGGGGCCAGCCGAGTGGCGCGTTGGTTAAGAGCTGGCTTGGGACGCCAGAGGGCCCTGGTTTGGATACCACATATGAGGGCCACTGACACTGCCCTCTACAGCTAAGATGCTAAACAACAGCTCAACCTGGAGCTGGGCTGCTGTGAGTCCACGGCGACGGCGTAGGCTGCAGCCCCTGCTGCAGTGGGTTGCCATGGGCTACCGTGTGTAGCCAGCAGCCGGCATGAGTGGCCCTCAAGCCACTGTGAGCAGCCATCCAGAAGCCGGCGACTGATCTGCCTCACCCGGGAAGAGCGCAATGATGGTGCCAACTTGGGCCAGTGAAGCAAGCAACGTCCTCCACAACTAGACTGAAGAACAACAACAACAAAAATGACAACAACTTGTCTGTTCCCCTTCCCCCAATTTCCCAGCACTGTTCCCATCCCCCAATTTCCCAGTTAAAAAAAAAAATCTTTAAAAAAAAAAAAGAGCAAAGCCTTTTAAAACAATTAAAAAAGTAGAGCCTGACGTTGTGACTGAATTGTTGCAATCTCATGATGAAACTTCAAAGGATGAGGAGTTGCTTCTTATGGATGAACAAAGAAAGTGGTTTCTTGAGATGGAATCTACTCCTGGTGAAGATGCTGTGAAGATTGTTGAAATGACTACAAATGATTTAGAATATTACATAAATGTAGTTGATAGAGCAGTGGCAGGGATTGAGAGGATGGGCCTCAGTTTTGAAACAACTTCTACTGTGGGTAAAATGCTGTCAAACAGCATCATTAGCTACAACCATTCATGAAAGGAGAGTCAATCGATGCATCAGACCTCATTGTTGTCTTATTTTAAGAAATTCCAACAGCCACCTCAGCCTTCAGCAACCACCACCCTGATCAGTCAGCAGCAATTAACATTGAGGTAAGACCCTCCATCATCAAATAAATTACAATTCACTGATGGTTCAGATGATGGTTAGCATTTTTTTATCAATAAAGGATTTTTAAATTAAGGTATGTACATTTTTTTTTTAGACAGAATGCTATTGCACACTTAGTAGACTACAGTATAGTGTAAACATAACTTTTAAATGCATTGGAAAACCAAAAATTGTGAGACTTCCTTTATTGAAATATTCGCTTAATTGCAGTGGTCTAGAACCAAACCCCTAATATCTCCAAGGTATGCCTGTACTAATAATCATGGAATAAAATTCACAGATAACCACAGGCTAGTGTAAGAAACAGAAAGAAAAATGTACACGTAAATAAAGAGCTATAACTCATGATAATAGTACACATGAAAATACACTCTAAATTAAAACAAGATTACTAGTGGTCAAATGTTAAACTGAAAGGTTAAATTGTAAATTCTGGGAAGTTATGGATATAGTTTTGCTAAGCTATCACGTTATTTTCCGGATATTTTATATTATCTATGTAGAGATAAGCTAGTTCCAATTATGAACTGAATATTCAGTTCACAGGGCTCCCACTACCTTTAAGACATCAACAATATGCTTAATATTCATTTCAGGAATGCTCATGGGTTCATTTGATTACTTTTAAAAATGAAAATAGTTAATAGTGTATCACATGACTTCAAAGTTACTGTCATCTAAATTTACTCATGTATACTTAAATATTTTTATTTTTAATAGATTTTATTTTTTAAGATCCTTGGTATCAACAGAAGTCAAAACTGATTTTTTTTCTGTTAAAATATATGTCAACGGAATTGAGAAAATAGAGTTTTGTTAGTAAGTTTGCACATGAATGCACTTTTTAGTAAAACCAATCGTAAAATGAGGTCATTGTTAGGAATCTATTCAAAGTCCATGACCCCCAAAATAAAGAAAAAAATGCTATTGTGAAGGTCTCCTTCTAGGTATCAACATGTTCATCAAACTCAGTTTAGGAACACGGCCCAAGAGCATATTTGAAAAGACTTTTCTTGACCACTTTTGAGAAATTCTGTTAGAAGGGACAGAGAAGCCAAAAGGAGGAGAAGGGGGTCTTTTCCTTGCAATTTGTGATGGAAATACATGTTACACAACCCTTAACCCAAAATAGAAAAATATGGCTACAGGTTATAGATTCAGAACTAAAAAGAAAAATCCCCTTCCCCTTGTGCATGAAGGGTCTCTATGAAGATTCATTGTGTCTTTTAGAATCTGTCAATCATGGTTCACAATTACCTTGATTTATTTTTTACCTGTATCAGAAAGGTGACTAGTCTTACACAGGAGATCAAATTTTCGGTTCCACACACATAGGTCATTCCCACCAGACAGCCAAACATCTAGTCTCTGAAGAACAGTTAAACACTGCAAAATTCATGTGAAATGTATATTAGTTTAGAAATGCAAGCATCCATTAGTGGTTTTAAAATGTCCCCAAATTCTTTGACACCCGCCCCATCAAGAGGTGAAATTTAATTCTTCTCCCCTTAAATGCAGGCTCTACTAAGTGACTAGCTTCTAATGAATATGGCAGAAGGGAAGGTGTGTGACTTATAAGACTAAGACATAAAAGACACAGTGGCTTCCTCCTTCCCCTCTCTTAGGTCACCTACTCTAAGCAAATACACACACACAAGCAGCTTTATGAGAAAAGATCCACAAGGACGTGAGGCCTCTAGACAACCACCAGCACTGACCTGCCAAGCATGCAAGCCCCCTGGGAAGCTCCAGCCCCAGTCAGGCCTTCAGATGACGGCAACATGAGAGACACAGCACCATCCAGTGGAGCTGCTCTCTATGCCTTACCACAATCACTGTCAGTACTGTTTCAAGCAACTAGGTTTTGAGGTAATTTGTTACTCAGTAATAAATACACAAGCTTAAAGTAAACTACTTTTTAAATAAAACTGAAAATATGACCTTAGATTTTATGTATCTTCCAAATTAGTATGTCCTAATTATTGATTCAGGTAAGTGAGTGTTTCTAGGTCCGCAGAACCCTTTAGAGTACACACCTTTAATAGTATTCTCCTTACCCATCGCTCAGGTGAGCCTAAGGCCAAGAGCACGAGAATAAGAAAGGGGAGAAAAAGGCTCGGAAGTCTCGCCTGGGCTGAGGGTGAGGTTGCTTTTAAAACTGCTGGAATAATAAGGGTTGAAATAATCAAGCAGTTTATATTTCAAGAGGTCGTACCCTGTCTAATCTCTGCAAGTTTAATATCAGTACTGCATTCCTTTTTATTACCAAATAATATTTCACTGTGTGGATATACCATGTTTTGTCCTTTCAGCAGCAGATAGGCACTTCAGTTATTTCCACTTCTGGGCTATATGAATAATGCTGCTGTGAGCATTCATGCACGTTTTTGTGTGGACATACATTTTCATTTCTCCTGGAAATACATCGAAATCAGAGTGCTGGATCAAATGATAACTGCTTAATATTTTAATGAACTATCAAGTATTTTTCAATCAGCCATGTATGAGGGTTCTAATGTCTCTACATCCTTATCAACACATATTATCTGTCATTTAGATATTACCCATCTAATGTATGTCAAACAGTATCACATCATGGTTTTGACTTGCATTTCTCCAATGATTAATGATGAGCTTCTTTTCATGTGCTTACTGGCCATTTGCATACCTTCTTTGGAGAAATGTCTTTCAAGTTCTTCATCTATTTTTAATTGGGTTGTCTTTTTATTGTTGAGTTATAAGAGTTCTTTATGCATTTCTTTATCCTTTCAGGATACAAGTTCCTTATCAGATATATAATTTGCAAATATTTTCTCCCATTCTGTGGGTTGTCTTTTCACTTTCTTGATGGTGTCCGTTGAAGCATAAAAGCTTTTCATTTTTTGATGAAGTCCAATTTAGCATTTTCTTCTTCTGTTGCTGTGCGTCTGGTGTCATATATGAGGTACCTAACCCAAGGTCACAAAGATTTACTCCTACATTTCTTCTAAGAGTTTTATAGTTTCAGCTTACATTTTGCTCTTTGATCCATTTTGAATTAATTTTTGGATATGGCATGAAGTAGGGATCCAATTTCAATGTTTTGTATATGGCTATCCAGTTGACCCTGCATTATTTGTTGAAGAGACTATTCTTTCTCTTATTGAAGGGTGTTGGCACCCTTGTCAAAATCAATTGACCATATATGTATGGTTTTATTTCTGGACTCTCAATTCTATTCCATTGAACTATATGACTATCCTTATGCGAGTACCACATTGCATTAATTTGTAGTAAATTTTGAAATTGGGAAGTTTGAGTCTTGCAACTTTATTCTTTCTGTTCAAGATTGTTTAAGCTATTCTAGGGTCCCTTGCACTTCTATATGAATTTTAGAATCAGCCTGTCAATTTCTGCAAAACAACAACAAAAAGCCTGCTGGAATTCTGGTAGAGATTGTGTCCAATCTATAGATTGGGTAGTGTTGCAATCTTAATCATATTAAATCTGATCCATGAATAAGGGATGTCTTTCCACTTATTTAGATTTTCTTTAGTTTCTTTCAACAATGTTTTGTAGTTTTTGGCATACAGGTCACATCTTCTTCAAATTTATTTCTAAGTACATACTTTATTTTTTTAGATGTTACTGTAAATGAGTTGTTTTCTTAATTTCATTTTTGGAATGTTCACCGCTAGCATATAGAAATACAATTAGTTTTTGTATACTGATATTGGACCTTGAAACTTTGCTATATCCTCTTATTCTAATAGTTTTGTTATGGACTTAGAATTTTCTAAATAGATCATGTTGCTTGTGAAGACATAGTTTTATTTCTTCCTGTCCAATATAGATGCCTTTTATTTCGTTTTTATTGCCTAACTGTCCTGGGTCAGAACCTCTAGTAAAATGTTGAATAGACATGCCAAGAATAGACATCCTTGTCTTGTTCCTGATCTCAGGGGGAAAGTATTCAGTCAGTCTTTCACCATTAATACCATGTTAGCTGTGGGGTTTTCAGAGATGCCCTTTATTAAGTTGAAGAAATTCTCATCTATTCCTCGTCTGTTGACGATTTTTATCATGAGAAGGTGTTGGAGTTTGCCAAATGCTTTTCTTCATCTATTATCATCATCGTAGTTTTTGTCCTTTATGCTAACTATGGTATATTACATTGATTGATTATTCAAATGTTAAACTAACGTCATGTTCCTGGGATAAATCTCACTTGGTCATAAGTTTGTAATCCTTTTAATATGTTTTTGGATTTGACTTGCTAGTACTTTGTTGAGGATAATATACTGCTTTTGTTACCTAACATCTTATCATTAGCATTTCCAAAACTCTCTATGTATTCTTTTAAAATACTATTTTTAGGATATATATCTATCATAATTTAACTATTTTCCTATAAGACATGTAGGATACTGCCAATCGTCCATTTATAAAATATATTTGTAATACACACTTCTGTTCATAAATCTCTGCCCAAGTTTTTTATTATTTCCTTTCAAGAGTATGCTAGAAGTTGAATTTCTGGGTCAATTCATGTAATCATTTTTTTTTAGATACATTCATAAAGCCAAACTGCCTTCAGAAGATCATATCAATTTACACTCTCAACAGCAAAAAAATACTAATTTCACCACCTCCTGGCTAATACCAACCCTCATAAAAACTTTACTAGTTCAAAAAATAAATAATAGTATTTCTTATATTTATTAGGGATCTGAATTTAGTAAATTATCTGTTCAAGAACTGAATCAATGAGCTAAAATGAGTGAAGTGCTATTTTTAACAATTTTTTATGTGAAACAGGATCACAGCAGGAGTAAATACAACTATGCAGATGATTAACATTATAGTAAAACCCCTTTAAAAAGTACTTTCAGGGGTGGCAGGTTAGCTCAGTTGGTTAGAGCACAGGCTCATAACACCAAAGTTGCCAGTTCGATTCCCACATGAGCCAAGGAGCTGCACCCTCCACAACTAGATTGAAACAACTACTTGACTTGGAGCTGATGGGTCCTGGAAAAACACACTGTTCCCCAATAAAATTTTTTTTTAAAGTACTTTTACCATACTGGAATAAGATACTTTTTACTGAACAGTTCATAAAACAGTTCACCAATGGAATTTCCCCAATATACTAAATTTTTTCTCCTTTCCTGTTCCTTCAATTCATGTATTTTCATTTGAAAATTAATGATGTCAGACAGAAAGTGAGAATATATTATAAGGAATTTAAAAGGGGTATCTTTCAGATCACATAAAGCATAGAGATTTGATGAAGTCAATACTTCAATGACTTCTTCAAAGACAGCCCATTGTTAAATTAGATAATAAGCAAGTAGTAAATGGAATTTTCTTCCCCAGAGACTTTAATAAATTGATAATTAGAACAGCACAGTAGTATGAGATGGCTACCAGAGATGCTGCCTTTGGGGGACAAAAAATGAAATACCTTGACTATTGGCACAAAGCAACTCTTTTTACATTTAAAAAAAAAAAGTATTAGCTCCAAATTAGAGATCAGTTATCTTTAAAGCAAATGAGGAAACATTACCTCACTTTACTAGTATCTTTCCCCAAGCTTCCTGAGATTATTGAAAAATAGTAGCACTTTCTGAGAATATTTAAGGTAATTTCTTCTGTAGGAATCAAAGTAACCAAGTTTTATCCAAGTTTGTTTCCCCAACATTTAACAGAGTTCCTATTGTGTACTAAGCCCCAATTAATATTTGTAAAATGAATGAACCTAACAGTAGCAACCAATTAGCCACGTATGATTTTGTTTTGGAACTAACTGACATGTCTTATCTTTATGACTTTATAGAAGTCAGAGGTTGAGGGACAAATAACTCTATGTTTTTAGCTCAAAGTATAAAGAAGCAGACTAGCTACTGCTATAGAGTCATTCTGCAAGTAATATTTCTTTCTAGAATTACCTACTAAAAACATACTTGGTACTACCTTTTTCTTTATCTTGCTATAGATATTTGCCACCTGCTCTAATTTCAAATGGAAACATTCTAGCATTTAATATATATGCTCCCAAAAATCTTATCTTAGAAGAAGCAAATAACTGTAGGTATGCTTGAAATAAATAATTTTTAAAACCTACAAAAGCAATTTCATCTAACTTACTAAACAATATTTTCTGAGGCAAAAAGATCATAAAATAGCTGCGTAAGAGCTTACCTTTACAGTAGACTGGAAGTATGATACTTTCTGAACTTGTCTGCCAGTATCACAATTCCATACCTAAATTTATGTTAAGAAATAATTTCTAAACAGTATTTTTACATCTTAATTATAACTGTTCTAATAATTAAGTCATAAATGCTACACATTTAGGTGGAAAATAAAGCATAAAATATTTAGTTCTTATATTACTACAAAAATTAATTCATATAGTGAGTCATCAACTTGTCATAGCAGGCTTACAATCTAAAATTAGTTTGAAGAAAATTTTACTATCAAACTATTTGGAAATGCCGACAGAATGGATGATCTGAAAGCTGAATCTTTAACAGGCGTTAAAAATTGTGACCATTTAAATTTTAAGGTTTATTCTCCAAAATAATCCACCATAATCTAATAAGCATTTAACATAAAGTATTTATACTAAAAACTATTACATCGATTAATTTTTACTGAAAGCTCTCTCAATGTGTATGGCATAATTTACTACTGTTATCCTGATTCAAAAAGACAGTAACAGTGTATTCCTATTACCTGCATACATATTTAAAATAATTAGAGGACCTCTCATAAAATGTCCAAAGTTAGTTTGACTTATAAGGGGTGTAATAATTTTCAAATTTTCCACACCATTTCCTATGGTAAGATATATATTTTGCCACATCTGAGGACACATTTACATAACATATATATATTATATATATATATATATTATATATATATATCTCCAAATTTTTAAGATTATCACTTGACAAAAATTTTAAAATCTACCCTCAGCATTTAATTAATGAAGTTAGTTAATAGTGAAGGCCCATGAAGAGTAAATTTAGAATTTATCTGAGTAAAAGGAACTGCCAACAATGCAGCCTAGATTTATTTTTAACAAGAAAAGTCATTCAGCAAAGGAAATAATTCTATACTACCATTTATAGGTAAAGTTTATACTGACAGTATTCCAACTACTCATCTCTGTACTGTAATAATAATTTCAATAATTGCCTCTTAATATTATTATAATACCTCAGGAATGGTCTAATAAAAAAGCATTTTAAATTCTACTTTTGCAGAGATTATACTGATACTAAAACAAAAAAAACAAAAAAAAAAACTGTAGTGTATAAAATATTTGCCTAAATAGAGAAGTAATAAAGCTACTCTGACAAACACATGAATGAATTTTATGCCCTTTTTTATGCAATATTATAATCACCACAAAATATAGTTTATCCCCATTTCAGTCTTTTATTGAAATGTTACCACCTACTGGCAACCTGTTTAGAAATCACTGCAAGTGATAAGCTCATTCGAAGTGTCATGAAGTATGTCTTGGTTCCACAGAAGACCGGGAAGCACTGACTTCTTTGGGCTTGCTCTGAAGCTTATTTCACTAATGCTTGAAGCTATTTAAACAAAATTCTTAAATAAGCACAGGCTTTTTAAAGCTAATATATGATATCTTTTAATAAAATAATGAAAGATTACAGTTATCCATAGCATTTGGCTACGACCTTCACAAATCCAATTCCTCATACAAATATTAAAGGGCTGAATTTGTTAAAGTAAAATATTTTATGAAGACAGTATTACCCAATGGTTCAGAACTCTGACTCTGCAGTCAGACTGCTTGCCTTCTGCCTACACCAGCTGTGTGACCTTGGGCAAGTTACTTAATCTCTCTTTGCCTTTGTTATCAGTCAATAGAATAATAAAAATACTTATTGTAAGGATGAAAGGGATTAATATATGTAAAACCACTGCCTGGCACACATAAGTACTTTATAAACTTTACTAATGCTGTTACATCTTAAATTTTTACCTAAAAGTATGTGGGAAACAAACGTAATTTACTTTTTTTTAAACTTGTTTTTAAATACTAAATATTAAACACTAAGCAGGTGGAAATTCACTTTTCTGTCAGACTGGGATGCTCAAAAGGTTTCTATGGGTTGGGACCATTAATTTCTTTTGCTGTACAATAAGCAGGAAAAAAATGTGAATTATTCTTCAGCCCAACTCATCTTTACTTCCCTAAACAGAAAAACAAACTGAGATAATAAGTATTTTTAAGCCCACTTTCTCCATCTCCTCCATTTTATATAACTTAACATGTCAGTAACTGGAAAGAATAGCTTAAGTCATGGGGTTTCCCTCAATAATAAGCCTTTTTCCAGTCTAATATTTTTCAGATGCCTAATACTTTTAAGAAGTGTCTTATGAAGGCTAGAACAAATCATTTCTGCTAAAACAGGGATGTACAGACAGGCCCCAAGAGGCTAAAGACTAATAATGTATTTACTGGTCCCCTGGGTCACTATAGCTATTTCACTCTTTCAGATTTAAGGATATAATAACTGTTCTATCAGCAGAGGCTGTCAAGATCAGTTGATTTTTTTCTTCACAAGCTTCCAAGGAAGGAAATGTAGTAATAGCTGTTATCTTTTGAGTGTGTCCACTGAGTTCCAAAAGTTTTTCTCCCGTCTGAAATACCAATAAAAATGTTAATGGGTTCATATTTCACAACTTAAATAATCTTAATTGGCAACATTAAGAAGAATCACCATGTAGAAAACACATACATTCTATGTGAAATTACTTAGACCTTATCATTTAACTTTAAGTAATCAAATAGAATCTAAGCAGATGCTGAAAGAGTAGCCATAAACAATTTGAATTATTTAATAGAAAATACTATTTTAGCATATTTTATAGAAAATTTAAAGGAATATTCTTTCCACATGATTTTAATAATATAACTGGATAAATTAAGCATAAAAACATCAGTAATCTGTAGAAAAAAATAGGAAGTCATCATTATCTAAGTATGTTATCTAAGTGTCCACAGTTATAAAGTTGTGGAAGGAAAAAAAGTCAGCATAACAACAAACAAACAAACAAAAATATATACATACAGCCAATAACATACCAACCACTCATCAAGTCGGCCTCCACTCCATCTCTCCCTAACAGCTACTCCCACCCACCCATCCTTCAGTCTCTCAAGGACTTCCATACTAAACATTCAAAAATACAGTGTAAATATAACAAACTGCTTATCTTTCAAGGCTACAGGATTTCATGAATATGGGGAACATAATGTTAAAGAACTACTTTAACCACAGGCAAAGCCATTGAAAAATGAGGATCTGACGGAGTCAAAACAGATAAGATAAATACGTCAAAAGAGAATAACTTGTGTATCAAAGAATCAGGGAGAGAGGTCCCAGAGAAATTTAGTGAAGCTTTAAATCGTTTTGGAAAAATAAGCTTTTTATTATATTACTATTGAAGTCAAACATGAGAAGCATGTTATATCATGCCATCATACAATTTTGAAAGGAAAATTGTGTCTCCCTCAAAAATCAACACTTGATTCCTTTTCAGAATCACTGCATAGTTACCGATAACTTAAATTTTGTTCAATAAGATTAAAACTTTTATTTTCTTAATTTGGCATTTGGTTCTCAGGAAAAAATCTTAATAAAAAAACTCTATAATGAATTATTGGTCCCCATTTTAAATGAATTCATTTGAAGTATCTCTTTTCAAGTATTACTTGGTCTCAGTCTCCTAATACGCAGATCTATCTCCAGATAGTGTTTATGAGTGTAGTCAACTATACAATCATGTCTTTATTACACAATCCACACACAATCAATACACACCTGGGCGTTCCATACAACTACAATTCCATCATCACCAGCAGATGCAAATCTGGTTAGAGAAAAAAGGTCAAGAAAAAACAAATCACTGGTGACATTTCAATACTAAGATTACTAAGAACTATCAAAACTTAGATATTTGGATTTACTCATATCAATGCAGATTAAGTTCTAAGCTAATTTAACGAATACTGATGAAATACCGTCTAGGTTTTATGCCAGGTACTGAGGACCCCAACATAAATAAGACCATTGACAGTGTTACAATGAATAAACTGCAAGAAATGTAAGAATGAGGGAATCTGTACGTGATCTTTAAAGTCCTTCCTTGCTTTAAAATTATAGGATTAAACCCTCACTTAAGTGACATGAAGCCAAGCTAAGGACCAGCTTCACTAACGGGAAGTGATATTCCAAGAGTGGAACAAAGGAATCATGTCCTTAGATAAGTTCATTGTTTCTATTATTTTCTCTGTAAAAATATTTTAAGTCTACTATTTAAAGCCAAGATCTCTCCTTTGCTCCTCTTGGCTCTTATGTCTTATTATATAAATACCGTGTTCTTGGTTTGGAAGATTTGGGAGTTTTTTGAGGCTTTTGATGATGATGATGATGATGATTACTGAAAATGCTTGAAATGCAAAGAGATAAAGGAAAGTTTATTTCATGGAATGAATAAAAGAGCTGTGATGAACTCAGTTATAGCTTATCTCTCCTCTTTACCATCACTGTAAATAAAGCAACAATCACCTATATTTTGTAGGAATATATCCATGACACAAACATTATCAAGAAAAGTAATTTGTTGTACAGGATTATTCATCATAGTGACTGCATTACAATAAAATCAAGAAAGCACTGTTCTCAGGCAGGGTCCCAACACAGTGATATACAGCAATCACACTGTAAGCATATCAAGTAGCTTATTATTCATAATGTAGTACACACGTTTTTAAATGATTCTTTAATGAATCAAAATAGATTCCCAGTTACTCCCATAATGACTTTCATTCACTTGAAATCAAGGTTTGCTTTTTTGAACAGGAGAGAAGGAAGCGGTATTAGAGACAGCCAGCTATGAACTGCATATATATATATATATATATATATATATATTTAAATTTATATATTAATATATATTTATATATTTAACATATATTTAATATATTTATATATATAATATGTAATATTTAATATTCATATATTTAATAAATATATATATTTAATCCTAAGAGTAAAAATCAACGAGATAGTTCTTGCCATTAAAGAGCTCATAGTCTACCTTACTAAGTAATGTTACAGGGTCCAGATCATGCATCCATTGAGAATTCTCATTCATACTTCTTTAAACTTATAGAAATCATTCCCTTTAAACACCTTCCCTTTGAACATCTCAGAGAAAGTATTCTCATTCTTGTCAACTGTGAGCTCAAAGTACAGCAAAGTTTCACAAACATTTGTATGAAATAAAATATTTTCACAAGTAATTCCTATGTCCATTACCTAAGTGTGCATTTAATAGTTCTTATTCATGTGAATTTACTTTAAGTCAATGGTGCTACAGATTCAAATGTAACCTTAGAGGACATAATAAAAAGTATAACCCCAAAACCTGAACATAACCTTCCTGTATTCAATATCTGCATCACCATAACAAATTGGAAAAATAAAAATAGAAAATTAGTATGACAATACAGAAATTCCCTGTGGTTAACTAACTTCCCACCTAATCCACAGGTACTTTCTAATACATGATGCAACTAAAATAGTATATGTTTTTTACAATAAAACAAAGTTGAAAAATGCTACAATACCAGAAACCAGACAAAACTGAAAAATAGCAAAGCTTTCACTTAAAATAGATTTTTTTTTATCTTGTATGCCAAAACTACTTGAAGAAAATTAGAGTAGTATATAGCTAGAGTCTTACAAGAGAAGGTGAAGGGAACATCAAAGCATTTTCAGGAGCCACAAACATTGATGTCACTGATTCTTTCATTAGATCTACTTGAACACCAAAATTTTTTTCTTAAGAAAAATGTATATATTAACACAACTTTAATACATGAATGACTAAGGTCCTTTTATAGTTCACAAATAAAATGGTCATGTGCAAAGATAAAACCTTTGGTAAATTCTCCCCTCCCCCAAATCATAAATAGAAAGCTCAACTACATATCAAGTTTACAAGTATCAGAATACCAAAAAGTCCCTGTGACTTCTATTAGGAGGAACCTCCATTTCCCTGAGCTCAAGTTTGCATGAAGGAACTTCTACTACTAGAGAAGGACCCTTGGCCTCTCCCTCCCCGACTGATCTAATAAATGCGTTTGAGAGAATTAATTTACCATGCTCAGTTCAGAGCCTTCTGGGTCTTCTATCTGTCTGTCCATCAAGAGGGAGCATTCTGCTTTGCTCTTGTTTCTGAGGTAAGCCTACATGTGAATGGAAGGTTTGCTGATGGCCAGTTGTACCAGTGATTCAGTGAATAAGTCTACCTAACTCGGGGTGAAGTATTAGCAAACTCATTGTGGTTGTATACCAATGTTATGTCCTTTAATCCAGTTTTTTGCCATTTATTGCTTTATCAAGCTGATACGTTCATGTCCATCTGTGTGATTTCTGCATGTAATATCTAAGAAAAAGATTTATTTTATACTGAAACAAAAATACCTTTTAAATTGACATTTTTATTTCCTCTATAAAAAGATACTTTTTTTTAACTTTTCATTATAGAGAATTTAAATATATATAAAAGTGGAACGAGTAAAACAAAAATCCTCTGGGCCGGCCGAGTGGCGCAATGGTTAAGAACTGGCTTGGGATGCCAGAGGGCCCAGGTTCGGATCCCACATATGAGGGCCAGTGACACTGCCCTCCACAGCTAAGATGCTGAACAACAGCTCAACCTGGAGCTGGGCTGCCGTGAGTCGCCGGCGACGGCGTAGGCTGCAGCCCCTGTGGCAGTGGGTTGCCATGGGCTACTGTGTGTAGTCAGCAGCCAGCGTGAGCGGCCAGCAGCCGCAGTGAGCGGCCGTCCAGAAGCCGGTGACTGATCTGCCTCGCCCAGGAGGAGCGCAATGATGGTGCCAACTTCGGCCAGTGAAGCAACGCCCTCCACAACTAGACTGAAGAACAAAACAACAACAACTTGTCTGTTCCCCTTCCCCCAATTCCCCAATAAAAATCTTAAAAAAAAAACCAAAAATCTTCTGGTACTCATGACCTTTCTTCAATAATTATCAACCCATGGCCAGCATTGTTTCATCTGTACCATATCCAATCCCCTCTCCACACATTATTTTGAAGCAAATCCCAGTCACTACATTTCATCAGTAAGTACAATATTTCAGTATGTGTCTCTCAGGACCCTTTTACATCACAACTAATGTTAACATTTAATTCCTTAATGTCACCACATACCTAGTCAGTGATCAAATTTCCCTGATTGTTTTTAATTTTATTAGAAGCAGGCTATAAATAAGGTTCATATATTGCAATTAGTTGATATATCTTTAAAATCTCGTTAATTCTATTGAGTCCTTTTTTTTTCCTTGCAATTAAGAGTTCGTTTTCTAGATTTCTCATAGTCCAGATCTTGCTAGCTACCTTCCTGTGTTGTCATTTAACACACACCTCTGTCCCCTGTATTTCCAGTAAATTGATAGATCTAGAGACTTAATCGGATTCAAATTTGACTATTTGGTAAGGCCACTTCATAGGCAATTTGTACACTCCACCAGGAAATATAATTTCTGGCAGTCTGTGTGTGTGTGTGTGTGTGTGTGTGTGTGTGTAATGTTAATAGCTATCGTCTAAATTTATCATTCTATCAGAGGTTGCAAAATTACAATATTCCAATTCTAGATGCTTCCTAGCTTGAATTCTTCTGTAAAGAGAAATTTCCTCTCATCAATTATTACTGATCCCAAGTTACAGTTTGTACAGCAAAGGCAGTATATATCTTGAGTTGCAGGAACCGCTTCAAGAGAGGACTAGCTGCCCAGCTGTGTGGAATGTGGTCATCTGCCTCCAGCTGTTAAGGCAGGGTCCATTTCAGCTTTCAAGTCAAAATCATACTATCTCAGTTGTTTCCCAGCCATTTGGAAAGCCAGAGACACATTCTTGGATGACTCTCAGCAATGACTAAGCGAAGCAGGGCAAAACATATTAGTTATTTCCATCCAACATAGGCCTCCTTTGAAGGGCATCTTTCCTCCAGAGCTCCCCACTGGGCCTGCATAGACTGTCACATCAGAGACAGCTCCCCTTGTCCAATACTGCCTTCTCCCTTTTCCCTTCATTGGTATTTCTCTCTAGTAAACCTTTTTGCATGCTTAACTTCATTTTATTGTCTGTTTCCCAGGGAACCCAGGTATTAGGAGGATCTAAATCATCTTGACTATTGATTTCTTCTCTCTGAATATTAATGACAAAGTTATTCTTAGCTTAAGATTATTTTCTTCAAGATGTAACATATTATTTGTTGTTAGTGAAATATCAAATTGTACTGAGCTTGTTTACTTTCTTGGAAATATACAGCTTCACCAGCCCTCCTCGGGGCATATTTTGTTCTCCAGTCTGGCACTTCATGGTTCACCTGATTCTTTTCCAGTCATGATCATCATCCTATATAACCTTGTCTGTTTCCTGGAGTAGCAAGGAATGGTCAAATGAGCAACAGAGAAAACTATTCTTAAGATGTGTATGAACTCAGTTTAGTTTAATGTGTCAAATGCTAGAGTATTACATGCAATTTTAGCACAGTCCATTTTTTAGAAGACTCTTGCTGAGGCTTAGCCTTCTTTAGTGATCTCCCAATCAATATGACCCTCACTTCATGTTCAAAAAATACTAAAGAAGAAAAGAAAAGGCAGCTGTCTGTTAGGTTATACAGGATTTATTTGGTATCTTCAAAAACCAATCTAAGAAAATTTTCCACTCACTGATTTTAGCTGAGCCACCAAGAAAACAAGAAAATCCTTCTGCAAAATTCTCAATAAACTGATATTATCTAAAGACCTGAAGCGTAAAGCCTGGATTACAACAGCTGACCAAAAAACCAGAATGTAATGTCTACAAAACTAAATAAAAACATAAAAAAATATAATAATATAATATTTATTTAGGGTATTTTGGTAATTTGACAATACATAAATAATGTTCATATACAATGGTAAAGATAACACTACACTGAACTATGAAGTTAACAATATGTTCATCTCTTAATTCTATTTATAATATTTATATAGTTTGTAGATTTTTTTATTTCTTTGTTACCAATAATGACTCTTTCAGTTATTTATTTATTTTTTTAGTACACTATAGAATTGAATTTTTTTAAAACACAGATTGAAAGTTCTACAGGTCTGTGACTGACTGAAAAACTTCATACCTGGTTACATGAAAATTTGACACAATGATGACTTGGGTACAAAGAGTTACTGTATTTCCCCATGTATAAGACGCACCCTTTTTTTTGAAAAATTTGGGTTCTAAAAACTGGGTGCATCTTATACAGTGGTTGTAGATCATTGTCAAGTCATTTAAGAAGTGTGGCATTTCAAATGCCATAGATGGAACTGAGGACGGGGCAATATATGAAGATAGTGATTCGTCATCAGACACAAATGAGAACAAGCTAATAGTTGGGAGTTTTGACAGTGATGAGTTGTATGAATTTTATGATGAATAAAACTTGAGTTCAATAACTTTATGTAACACAATTTTTTTCAAATTTCGGGCCCCAAAATTAAGGTGAGTCTTATACATGGGGAAATACGGTAAATGTGATTTATGAAGTAACATCTTCAATTTTGGAAAAAGCCAAAAAGTAGGTTTTTTTCATCTATTCTAGACATTTAGATTCACTGTGGTGGACAGCAAGCATGGCTGCAAATTATTCTTCCTCCCTATGTCACCATTTGCAACAGGATTTAGTTCCTTCTCCCATTAAGGGGTAGAGTTTATTTATCCACTTACTGAATTTGTGCCAGTTCCTGACTTGCTTTAGCCAATGAAACAGCAGCAAACAACACAGAGACTTGAAAAGTTTTACATTGGGGCTAGCCCTTTTGCTGGTATTAGAACTCCATGATCACTATGTGAACAGCACTTGAACAACCATATGGACAGAGATCCTAGTCATCCCAGCTGAGACCAGCCAGCCCCAGCCATTCCACCTGTTGACCAGATGCTTGTGAACTTAACCAAGTCCATCCTGGTGCAGATGGAAAAAAACCTACCCAGCTGAGCCGAGCCCAAACATCTTCCTGCAAAATGGTGAGCTAAACATACTGCTATATAGCAATTTTTTAAACCACCAGTTTGGGGTGATATTTGACAGAGTAATACAATAGATAATTGATATAATTATTTATGGCTTTTATTGTTTACAGAACATTTACTGTATTACTGAACAACTGAAGTACACACAAACACCTGTGTTTGGGGAAAAAACATAATCAAATATCAGCATTTGAACCATGATCACTATTCTACAAGATGACCTTTTCTGGATATTCCTCCTCTAACTATGTAATAAGACTAGCCAAGAGAATGTTTCAGAGGACGGATAGCAATGAACATGGCACCTTAATAGTTAATCTATATAAAAATTTAACGACCACATCCTAAAAGTATACTGTATATTTTTTATTTAGCTTTCTTAGACAAAATGATTTGAGGATTCCTTATGGCCCAAATATTAGTGATTATGGTCTAAGAATTTATTTGAGATTTTTTTTAACCTACCTAGCAACTTACTATGGTAAAATATGGTACAAGAAAATTTTAGCTGTCCAACAGTCTATCTTCCCAGAAATGTTTAGTTTCAAAGATCTCACTAAATAGAGTATCTCTTAAGACATACCAACAATGAATATTACCAAAAAGGCTGAATATTATACTATGTTAACATGCTATGATTTGGTTGGCTTATATCACAACAGGAAAATAATGCTGATAGGCTAGTAATATATATGAGGCAAATCTTTTCAGGCGTTAAGTTTAGAAGCATGTTGTTGTATAATAATTTGGCTGGACTTTGTCCCTGGTTTCTAGACGGAAGCTGGGCCCCTCAGACCTCCCCTGAGTTTATGCTAACAAGATGACTCGCGGAGGGCCCCTAGACAATTGAAGGATGCGGTCTGGTCATGTGGGAAATATGAACCATATAATTAGAGAGTTGGGGCTTGGAGCCACAGATATCAGCCTGATCACTAAACTGCAGGGGGGAGGGAGGCTGAAACTGAGTTCAATCACATGGGGCATAATTTACTCATCCCTATGTATGAAACCCCAATAAAAAAATCTGAACACTCAAAGCTTGAGTAAGCTTCCTCGTTATGACAGACACGGATGTGCTGAGGGGCGACAGATCCTAAAGACCCAGAGTTTGTATTTGGGACCCTCCTAGACTTTGCCCTATGAACCTCTTCATTTGGCTGATCCTGATCGCATCCTCCATAATAAAACTGTAGTCATAAGTATAGAGCTTTCCAGAGTTCTGTCAGTCTTCTAGTGAATTATCAAACCTAGGGGGATAGTGGGAAGGTGTAACTCGTTGGTCAGAAGTGTGGGTGGCCTGGAAACCCTGGAGACTGCAGCTGGTGACTGAGGTGAGGGGAGTGCTGTGCAGGACTGTACCCTAGCCTGTAAAATCTGACCTAACTCCAGGTAGTGTTAGAATTGCATTGTACATGGGAAGAGCAACTAAATACCAAAAACATAAGAAAAGCAGAGAGAAGGCAGGTTAATAGACATGAGACGTGACAGTCAGAATTAGGAATAATCACAGTAGCAGTAACCCATGGAGTCAAAAACGGAAGAAGAAAAAAAAAAAGTATCAAAGGCAAAAGACACAGAGATGATAGTGGAAGAATTGACAGGGACAACACAAGTGGAGTTAGGGAGTTAAGATGGCAAGCAACATGTACCGGTAATAGTCTGGGAATTCATTAATTCATTTAACAGCCATCTACTAATTAACCTGCTACATGTAAGGTGCTGCGCCATGTACTAAGGATACTGTGGTGAATTAGAAAAATATGGCCCCCACTCTCATGAAGTCTACATCCTATAGAAGATAAATACTAAATGGTTACACAATTAATTGTGTAATTGTTGTGATACATGTTATAAAGGATAAACACAGAGCTGAATAAGGGTTTAATAAACAGATATACAGATCAGTGATAAGCTAAATCCACAGTCATGGGGTCTACACACCTTCACCTCTATTTGCAAATATATTAAACACAACATTATACATGTTAGCAAGGAAGTACAGAATAATGTACATTTGTATGAATTTTTAAATTTATTTTTAATTATAGTTAATACAATTTTATATTAGTTTCAGGTGTAGTACAGTGATTCAACATTTATATATCTTACAAAGTAATCACCAGAATAATTCTAGTAACACCTGTCATTATAGTTATTATATTATTTACTCTATTCCCTATGCTGAATAATATTCATTTTAAAAGGGTTTTATCAACAAAAAATTTCAGATTAAATACTTACCCTCCACTAAAAATAGCATATTCCTTGTAGGTACCTGATATTTAAATATTTCCCACATTTGTTTCTCAAATTTAGGTTCACCTTAACATAGTTATTTTAAAGTCATACACTTCCTCTGGGCTAACAAAAATATTTCTAGCCCATCAAACAAACAAACAAAAAACCTCAAACAAAAATAGTCATCAAATTACCAAATATGACATCCTGACTTTTGAGCAAAAAAGACTTCACATACAAATTTCATCAAGATGCAGAGGTCAATGTCTACCAAATGATCAGTTTTTAAATTTTTAGAAAAGATGGGTTAATGTTGAAGTTGTTTTTAATATAAAAGTCCCTAAACTCTTTCCAAACAGGAGTCAATTGGACAATTATATAGAATTTCTTACCTGTAGTCATCTAACTGTACCAGAAATCGTACAATGTCATGATGAGCTTTCAGTACAAGCAGTTCAGTGTAGGGGTTCTGGGTTTGTTCTTCGCCTATTGTCTGTACAGGAGATTTCTTGTATTGGGGGAGAAAAAAAAAGCCAAAATAAAAGAGAAAGAGATAAAATGCTTTATGATAAGGCCATACTAGAATAAAACTACATGGTATACATCTAAGAATACAAGATTTAAAAAGCTCTAGGGCCGGCCAAATGGCGCGATGGTTAAGAACTGGCTTGGGATGCCAGAGGGCCCCGGTTCAGATCCCACATATGAGGGCCAGTGACACTGCCCTCTACAGCTAAGAT